TGTGGAAAATAAAGCCTTTTCCGAAAGATCCCTTATCCCTTTATGAAATAAGGGATAAGGGATCTTTCGGAAAAGGCTTTATTTTCTGCAAGATCAGCGTCTAGACTGGCGCTTTTTTCCAGCAAAGCTCTGTGCCGAAAAAAAGCGGCAGCCATTTTTATGCTAATGAAGCAGGGGAGATTTAAATCCCTGCTTCATTAGCAATTGCGATACGTCTAATTTACATCCCTTTTATGAAAAAGGGATGTAGTCTAGATATAGCCATGTAGTCCCCTTACTAAAGGAGCCTCTCACTTTTACTGGGAGGATCCTTTGTGCTGCAATCTAGCCCTAGAGACTACAACTCCCATGAGCCCTTGGGAAAAAGGAGGGAACTATGGCTCTTCCAGGCTATGCAAGAAGAGAGTTAGGAGGCTCCATTGTGGAGTGAGGAGCCGGGCTGCTGGTGGGGAATCTTTTTTCAGACCAGGAGTTGTTGATTACAGCTAGAGCCTGCCAGGGCTTGATGATTGTCCCTAGAGGGGAGAGACTCTCGCTGTGCCTGTGATTGAGAAGAGCCTACATAACCCTGCATAGAAGGTAACTGTGGCTCTTTGGGAAAGTGCTGCCTGGGACAGAGCACAGAAAATAGACTGACTCTGGGTGCAAAGAGAGGCAGAGTGACCAGCCCAGTGAACCAGAGCTGCTGGCATTTGGTGGGGCCTGCTCCAGTGGCAGAGGGGTTTTGCAGCTGGCTGCCTGCTGGGACTGGCACACACAGAACCTGCACAGTGCTGTCTCCACTCCAGCTGCAGACCTTCAAGCGCACCCACACAAGTGTCTGGGATTCTGAATCCAAAGGAGTGCTCACTCTGGGGTGGGATAAATGGTGGCAGTGTGAATACCAGCTAGATATGTTTCCTTTATTTCTCTATATTTTGTTAATTGATTTTGTTCACTTTTAATCTGTTAAATCCTATTTCATTAAGTGGTTAAGTTAAAGAGTGTTAATTATAATTTAATTAGTTAGATGTATATTGTTGTGTTGGAGTTAGATCCAGATTACTGCTGGAATAATTTTATTCCTGGAGGCTCCCAAGGCACACCATAAGGCTGTGTCTACATTGGCACCCCTTTACGGAAAAGGGATGCTAATGTAGCACATTGGAATAGGCAAATCCGCGGGAGATTTAAATATCCCCCGCGGCATTTGCATTAACAGGGCTGCCACTTTTTTCCGGCTTGGGGAAAAGCCGGAGAAAAGCGCCAGTCTAGACGTTATTCTCCGGAAAATAAAGCCTTTTCCAGAGGATTTCTTATTCCTGCTTGAAAGTAGGAATAAGAAATCCTCCGGAAAAGGCTTTATTTTCCGGAGAATAACATCTAGACTGGCGCTTTTCTCCGGCTTTTCCCCAAGCCGGAAAAAAGTGGCAGCCCTGTTAATGCAAATGCCGCGGGGGATATTTAAATCCCCTGCGGATTTGCCTATTCCAATGTGCTACATTAGCATCCCTTTTCCGAAAGGGATGCCAGTGTAGACGTAGCCTAAGTGTATACAGGGCCAGCCACGTGGAGGCTTTGTATATTTCCTTTAGGAGCAAGGGACTTGCTCCATTGTATATTTTCTTTAGGAGCAAGGGACTGCAGCAGGGGGGTGGATAGGGAATCCCCAACTAAACAACATCACCACTCAGGATCTCTTTTTATGTTAAAAACCTCAGGCGCCCAGGCACACATGCAAGTGTGATCTGCTCCAGAGTAACCCAGGGAGGACAGAGGGTGTTACACATACGTGAGTAATTTTTTTCATGTTGAAAATGGTGGGAATCTCTATTTACAAATGAATTTACAGTGCTTAGTAAATGGCCAGCAGTATGTTTGCTCATCTGATTTGTCTCTTGTGTGGGTTGTAGGTTTTGGAGACAATTATGATCAGAGCATGGACACATCATATAAGACTGGAGTTCCTGGTTTGTGCCTTTGACTGAGCATCCATGATGGATTTCAGTTCAGACCCCTTTGTCCCTTTCCTCAGGGTTCCAAAAATTAGGGCATATCACATTAAATCATGACTGTTACAATCTAAAGCCTACAATCTAAGTCTTTAAAAACACTTTTAAAAGTGAAAGATGAAAATGAAAAACACATCTTGGTCTAAGATTGCACCTGTGTTCACCTAGGCTCAGTAAAAAACGTTCATGTTATGGTAGAGAAAGTCATACGATAAAATGATCTCATTTTCAGAAGCCATGGGCTGTGTTTGTTCCTCCAGATTTCTTAAAGTGTGGCTATTATTCTGTCTGGCAAGCTGAGTTTCTTTCTTTGAGGTCAGCATGCCCCTTGTACAAATGTTCTCATCTTGATATATTTTTCCTTGGTAGATTGACAATGCGGTTTGCTAAACTAACATAATTGTGTCAGGACCTCAGTCCCTTGGCACAATATTCATTTTATGTTCCCATTTTATTTTCTATCAAATAGAGCTGTTTTCTTCTGAGTGGACAGGTTGTTCCTATCTCATGTATTTTAAGATTATTTCAAAAATTCTACTATTGTCATAGATGTTATTTGCTCTTTGTCATGGCCAGAATACAATTTAACTTGTGTGTTAGTAACCTTCTGTTCCTAGGGAACTGACTCTCTTTCCCATCAAGAGTGTCACATACAAAACTATTCTTTCATTTTTGTGATTTATTAGTTACAGGCACAATGCCAAACCCAACACTTCCCTTTATGATTTTTGGTCCTGAATAATTCCCTCTTGTATAAGGTTAACATCTTATAGGAACATTTTTTCAAGCATGCCTTTCTGGGCCTGGCTCTTTAAATATGACAAAGCCAAGCCACTGCAGCATTCAAGTGGCCATATTGCAACTAACCACTATGTTGTTCTCTGTTTTAGTTACTATGTTATGTGTATGTCTACACATCAAAGTTAATTTGAAATAACAGCCGTTATTTCAAATTAACTTTAATAGCGTCTACACAGGCAAACCGCTATTTCAAAAATAATTGAATTAGCAGGGTGCTTATTTCGAATTTGGTAAACCTCATTCTATGAGGAATAATGCCAAATTCAAAATAGCTAATTCGAAATAAGCACTGTGTAGACACTTATACTGAAATAGGGGGCCTCCAGCCCTTCCCAGTTTCCCCTGGTGACCACTCTGGTCCAAACGAGGAGACAACTTCTCCTCTCCCTCAGGCCCAGAGCCCTTAAAGAGGTAGACTCTGGCCATAGAGCCCAGCGCCAGCCCTGCCAGCAGTCGCTGCCCCTCACCTAGTGGCCAGAGAATGAGCCAGCTGTCCCCTGCCCAGTCTCCCAGCTCCCAGGAGCCAGCCAGGGGCCGGAGTGGTGGGCACCCTCCTGGACTAGTGCAGAGATCATGGATCTCATTGAGGTTTGGGGGGAAGCCTCCAATGTCCATGATCTCTGCACTAGATGGAGGAACACCGCCGTCTACGGACACATAGCTGGCACCATGGCCACCAAAGGCCACATGCGCACACAAGAACAGTGTACATGAAGATCAAGAGCTGCGGCAGTGTACACCAAGGCCACTCAGGGCAGCTCCTCAGCAGGGGCAGACACCTGCCCCTACTTCGCTGCTCTGGACCGCATCAGGGGTGGCGGGACGGTCTGTGCCACCCCAGGGGGCAGCGATCTGGGACCAGAGGGCCCTGACCAGGGCGCAGAGGAGGAGCCACCACGGAGGGTGCCACGCTGCCTGGACCCCCAAGCAGGTGGAGAGGGAGACCAGGTACCACGCACGTGGGTCTTTCTTGCCACGGATCATGGAGCAACCTGTGCATGTGCGAGCACGTGCCATGCCACCCCTGGGCAGGTGGCTCCAGCCGCCTGCCACACAGGGGCCATGGCCTGATAGCCACACGCATGTGTGAAAAGACCTGACATGCTCCTGACCCCAGGGCGGGACATAGCAGGACGCCCTCCCTTCACAAGCCCCCTCTAGAAAGAGGCAGGGGACATCTTCCCCCCACCTCAGCCACACAATGCACAGCACAGGGGCATGGGTGCAGTCTCGGGGCAGCTCCCACTCCCAGGGATAGCCGGACATTCCGACCATGGCCTCTGTGCAAGCACAGTGGCTTTGATGGTGCAGGGCACGGTCATCCTCACCTCGCAGAGGGGGGCTGGGCTTCACCCACTGTGTCCCCAGGGAGAACTGACCACTTCTCTTCTTTCTCCACAGCTGCACCAGCTGTGCATGCAGGGCACACCACCCTGCCTGGGACATCCTCCTGCACCCGAGGGCTCAGAAGGTCCACTGCAACATGGCAGGGGGACCAAGACCCGCAC